AAGGCAAGCTGCAGTCTCAAGGACCCCAGGAGGAGAATCAATATTTTGGATGAAACGACTTTAAGAAATCGTCAATATATCACCTCATAGACCTGAAGGATGAAAATCTGTATAAGAATAGAATACCAGAATTCCCTTTTAGCAGAACTCCGGATAAGGATCAAACCCTGGAGACTTCCAGAGACAGACCACTGTTGGTACGATTGTGGCCAAGTTCCACCATCATTCGGGTAATAGCCAAGTTGGGTTGTGAGGCTTAACTTGCTTATTGAGGGGTCTTATTTTGGTTGCTACATGCAATGATGTTTAAATAATTGTTTCAGTACCTTATTGTCTTGAGATTTCTTAATAAGTAGCTGAATTAAAGGTAACTTGTGGTAATTTACCCACAACAGCGTACTCCAGTTTTGAGGTTACAAAGACCAAGTGTATCGTAATAAATATTTGACAGGACGCACAGATCTCTCGATTCAGTCAGGTGACTCACACATACTGCAGTGATATATCAGGGTTAGGTTGTCAACATGCTGCAGGGAAATAACAGGGTGTAAATTTTGAGGGATGTTAAACCCACCTTAAATAACCCTTGTTTAGGGCACACCTTAGAAACTGGTTATTTGACATTCTGATTGAGCATCATTGGGCAAAAATGTTTTAAAACATCATTTTGCTGCAACTCTTATGTATCATAGAATTTTCTGGGATGTGAGCATTTCTGGCAAAACATTTATTGTTTAACAAGCGGGAAATCATCAGGTTCCTCAGACAAGCCACTTGATTTCACCCACCACTGAAGTCAGTGGAGCTTTTGACTTATTCTGTTGCCATAAACTGTTGGATGCAGTTTATAACGAGCAACGTTTCACAGCAAAATGTGTTGAATGGTGCCATGCAAACTCCCAGTTCAGAGGTTGGACCCTGGAGCAGGGTGACCAGCGGTTGGCAGACCCGGGCCTGTCACAGATTGCGCTCAGCGGCTTGCAAGACCAGTTGGGGTTGGCCCAGCACGGGGAGACCATGTGTGGAAAGCTCCTAGCGTGGAGTGACTGCAGGCTATAGAAGGGCTGTAATGTTTATCGTTTAACTTTATTTCTTTATTTTCCTAATTTATATTATGAAGAACTGTAATGTAAAACTTCTGGCTTTTTTTTCTTTATTTCTCTATTTTTGTACCTAAGATTTGTAAATGGGTACTTCGTACCCAGGATGGCACCATGTGTGGTGGCAATGTACACTTTTCACTGTACTGCTGTACTTTTGTACTCGAGTACACATGACAATAAAACTTAATTCTAATTCTAACAAGTAGTTGTAAATCGAGGTGGATGTGCACATGTTGGGGTTATTTTCTCTCTTCCTATATGGAAGGAGTTGAATTTTGCTGGGGTGCAATTCCATGGATGCTGGTGGTTTACGTTACAGAGATGTTCTGGCATTGGCATTGGACTAGTAATCCAGAATCCCAGGTTAATGTTCTGGGGACATGGGTTTGAATCCCATCATGGCTGATGGTAAAATTTGAATTTTTAAAAAACTGGTCAAATAGTGAACCTTGTCGACTGTTGTAAAAATCTATCTGGTTCCTTTAAGGAAGGAAATCTGCTGTCCTTAACTGTCCTAGCCTATTATGTGACTCCAGAACCACAGTAATGCAATTTTTAAAAAAAAATCACTCGTGGGATGTGGGCATCGCTGGCTGGCCAGCATTTCTTGTCTGTCCCTAGTTGCCCTTGAGAAGGTGGTGGTGAGCTGCCTTCCAGAACCGCTGCAGTCCATGTACTGTGGGTTGACCCATAATGCCATAAGGGAGGGAATTCCAGGATTTTGACCCAGCGACAGTGAAG